GACAACCTCTAGGGGTTATTTTCTAGCTCTTAGTCCTGGGAACTCCTTCTATAACATACTTGATATAAGGTCATATAGCCTCCACATGGGACAGGTAGGTGGTACAGTAGATAAGAGTGCTGCACCTGGAGTCAGTAAGATGTGAGTTCAAATCCAACCTCATACAATTACTAGCTATGTAACCCTGGGCAAGTCATTCACCCTGTTTGCCTCAGTTTCTTCATCTGTAAAATGATCTGGAGAAGGAAATGGCAAAAACTCTAATATCTTTGCCAAGAAAACCCCAAATGGGTCAAGAAGAGTAATTCATCACTGAATAACAACAGCTTCCACATAAAAACCTCCAGTGATAAGGAACTCACTACCTTCTGGCAAATTTCACTGTGCTTTGGGACATCTTGACTGTTAAGAAGGTTTTTTTGTTGTCTTACCCAAATATTGAACCAAAATCTATTCTTATGGATCTTGTAACTATGGCTCCTAATTTTTTCATCTGGGACCAAGTAAAAGAAGCCTAATTTCCTTTTCACACGACAGATCTTCAAATACTTGAAGAAATCTACCATGTTGTTCTTTTGTAGACTATATACTACCAGCTCCTCCTAGTACTCACTATATGACATGACCTCTGGGCCACTGGCCATCCTAGTCAAACTCTAGCCAACTGTTACAAGTCAATTTTAGTCATTTATTTTACTGAAAATTGTTAGGGATCTGTTGACGTTGAGGACCACAGGCTGTTCATGAGACTTCACTGACGGGCGAAGGCCCCTCTCGGGTGTTAGTACACGAGCAGAATATCCTGGCTCAGTTCTCCATCCATGGACCTTGCACTCCCAGTCAGCAGAACTCTGATGCCAGGCAAACAATGTCGCCAGCTCAAGCACAGTCAGCTCTAGCACAAATATGTGTCAAGTACTGCTAGCTCACGTATCAAGTATTGGGAACATTCCGGGAACAAGAAGTACCTGGCGTTTTCACGGGAACAGCACGGGAGAAGGACACAGTCAGGACAATGTTGCAAAGAAATGTACTTGTGGATACTTTGATTGGTATTCGCATGAGAAAAATGCTCGGTGTTGCATGTTGGTAAAGATATGTAAACTTTGTTGCTTTGTCCGCTGTTACATTGGGGTGTGCCTTGAATAAACGGAGCTTCACCATCTTGTCTCCCTGCCTCTCACTGCTCAGCGCAGGGTATCAGGAACTAAGCTGGCCTTAGCATTCCTGGGGAGGGAGAGTTTAAGACTCTCACAGCCACTGAGCTGGACGTGTGCAGAAAATAAATGACATTTCTACAGGAGAATATTCTTGCCCTTCATCATTTCTAAACTGTTACAAGAAGGAGATGAGAGATATTTCTCCCCTTGGGTCAAGAACTATAATTTTTCAGTATGGTGAGGGTTCTTAACCTGGGGTCCAGGGCCCTGTTTTTGTTTTTTTTTTTGTTTGGTTGGTTGGTTGGTTTTGATTTTAATATTTTGATAACTAAATTTCAATAAAACTGATCTCCTTTGTATTCCTATATAATTTATTTTATTTTATGCACTTAAAAACATTCTAAGAAGGGGTCCAGAGGTTTCACCAAAAAGAAAAAAAAAACATTTGGGGTTTTCTTGGCAAAGATACTAGAGTGGTTTGCTATTTCCTTCTTCAGCTCATTTTGTACATGAGGAAACTGAGACAAACAGGGTAAAGTGACTTCTCCAGCGTCACACACCTAGTAAATGTCTGAGGCCAGATTTGAACTCAGAAAGATGAGTCTTCCTGACTCCACGCCCAGCACTCTATCCAGCGTGCACCTAGCTACCAAGACAAAGCAGACCGCAACACAAAAAAAAAAGGTCAAGAATCCTTGATGTAGGGAATTCCTTGGTGTGGAAACACCCTCCACAGATCCAGTAAGTCAATTAACAAGCACATATTAAGCACTTAGGCTCTTCCCTGTACTTAAATGTACATAAGGCATTGAGGCTATAAAGACAACAAGGAAAGTTCTTCCCCTCAAGTACCTTACATTCTCGCAGGAGGGGCTATGTATGTATGTATGTATGTATATATACATATATGGGCAGCTAGGAGGCACCATGGCGCATAGAGCACTGGGTCTGGAGTCAGGAAGACTCATCTTCCAATATTCGTGCAAAGTCTGTACAAAGCAGATAGAAGGTGACATCGGAGACAAAGGCACTAGTGGATGGGGAAATCTGGAAAGTCCTGCAGGAAGTAGGAGTCTTGAAGGAAATGAGGGATTCTAAGATGCAGAGATAAGAAGGAACAGCAATCTGGGCATACAGACAGCCAGTGCAAAGGAAAGGCAATGGGAGATGGAGTGAGATATGTGAGCAACAGTAAGAAAGCCAATATGGCTATACTGTAGAGTGCATGGAGGAGAGGAAAGTATAATAAGGATAAAAAGGGAAGATGGGTTGATTTGGGAAGAATGTTAAATGCCAAGAAAAGATGTTTATGTTTAATCCTAGAAGGCATAGGAGCCACAGAGGTTTGCTGAGTGGGGTGGGAGGAGGTATGATATTGTCAGATATTTACTTTACAAAAATCACATTGGTGGCTTCCTGGAGAATAGTTCCCAATGGAGAGATCGGAGGCAAGGAGACCAGCAGGAAAGCCATTGCAATAATCCAGATGGAGGGCTTTAAACTGGGGTGTGTGGATGGAGAGAACCAGATGTATGGGAGAGATTTTGTGAAGGTAGAAACAGTAAGATTTGACAGCTGATTGGCTCTGTGGAATGAGTGAAAGTAGGGTCAACCCAAATGAAGGAAGACCCTCCTCTTCCTCTGATACTGGAACAAAGGAGGGAGTTAATATGAAGAGTCTGTGAGATAAGGAGGAAGGAAGGAGAGGGAGGTCCCAGCAAATTTAGCAGTTTCCTAAAATATGAGGCAAGGCCTTCAGATAAGGTAGGGCTGGAGGTGCTATGGCAGCGGGGCTGAAAGAGATAAGAGAAGATTTCGAACAGCTGTTGTCATAGGTGGGATAGAGAATCAGGGATTTAAAGATTAAACATGAGCTCTATGGATTTGCTATTTTTTATGGAAAAAATGCATCTGTCAGGATGTGCTCATTGGTAGCTCTTGGCTTCTTTTCTCCACCATGCACTAGCTGTGTGACCTTGAGAAAGTTACTTAATTTCTCACTGGCCCCAGACAGTTCCTTCAAATTATGTTACAGATGAGATATCAACTTGCATTATTAGTATCCCAGTTTCCTCCAAAACTCAGCTTAAGCACCACTTCCTACATGAAGCCCTTCCTGATTCCCTCAATTTCTAGTGCGCTCCCCACAAATCACCTTCTATTATCTTGTATACATATGGATGTTGTTGGCAGTGTTGAGTCGATGCGCACGATGTCTCATTCATTCAAGTGGAAGCTTCTTGAGGACAGGGACTGGTTCACTTTAGTCTTTGTGTCTCCAGTGCCTAAAATGGTTCATCTAAGTAGTGCAAGAGACGACAGATGGACAACCCTGGCACTCAGTTGGTTTTCTTGGATCTCAGGAGAAAGCCAGAAAGCATCTAGCATATTGAATGAACCCCATGTGGCATAGTTATGGTAATACCTAGGCATAAGTTTTACAGCAGGGGCACGCTTAGAGGGGTTGCAATGTGTATTGTTGGGGAGAATATCAACACTTGTGCTAACACACAGTCTTTGAGGATATTATTTTTATAATTTCTTTCTCCTCTTCCCTCTTCCCCTTAAGCCCTACCACTCCTTCCCCAGCACATGCCCTGCCCCCATGAGCCAGCTGATGTCACTTCCTGACTGCTGCATCCTTATTTGTGCCCATTAATGGATATGGGACAGAGACACTGGCACAGACTGCTCACTGTGGATTTCAAACCCTTGTTTGTGGCTAAAGACTAAAGCTCTTTCCCCTAGAATTTCGGTCACATTGATACTTCAAAACTTAAATAAAAAGAGAAATGTTACTTGAAATAGTCTATCCATCCTGCCCTCATTTTAAAAACCAAGATAAACACCTCATTTCTAAGTATTTCTGATTAGCCATCTGCCTTGTCTGTAATCACTGGATGATTCCACAATCATTAGCTGAAAAGACCTGGCTTAGTGGAGGGAAAGTGACCTTTAACCAAGTCAAGGTGATAATTTTAAGCTTTTTATTTTAGATTTTAAAAATGGCACAGGGAATGGGATAAGCTAAGGCTCAGAGATGGCTCAGGGATGGCCTTTGAGATCTCTTCCAGATCCAGATCTAGGATTCTGTGACTCTATAATCTGTGGTTAGAAAACAGAGTCGGGTAAAGATGTCATGCCTCACTGCTCCCCTTACCCATGCTTAATCATTTTGAAGATTTATTTATGCCTTTTCATTTTATATTACCTTCATTTCCAAATGCAGACTGCTCCTACCACCCTACCCAAGAAGCCTTCCCTAGAACCACCATCCCCCCCAAAAAAAACCTCTTTACTTCCTATTAAAATCAAGGGGGTAATGGGACCTCACATGCAGAAAGGAAGAAATAATAAGGGTTCCATTTGATATATTCTATCTAATTCAGTTCTACAATGACGTGCCCGCTACTACAGATAATGAATGTCCACCACTCATTTATTAATTCAACAACAGTAAATAGGATCATAGGATTACAGCTTTAGAGCCAGAATGGATTTTAAATGTCATTTCATCCTATCCCATCATTTTTCAGGTGAGGAAACTGAGACCCAAATAAATTAAGTGACTTGCTCAGGCTTACACAGGTTTCAATTACTGACATAACTTCACCAATAGAACTAATATCTCCTATATTTCTGTCTGGATCTTATAGAGTTAGATTGTTTCTCTTCCTTTTATAGCCCTCTTTCTTTCTCTTTCACTGCTCCTAGACAGAGAAATAGGAAGACAAAGGAAAGAAACAAAGAAACAAACAAAGAAACAAACGTACATCTTAATTGGTTACCATGTATATGAAGCTATATATATGTCTAAATATATACAGGAGACAAGCAAGATGAAGAGTACATTTCATTTATTCAGTTATCATGGGCATGGACTTGCTGGACTACCATATATAGAAGCATCGTGGGGATAATATAATAGCATTATACGTTATAACAGAATGGTGATAGATACATAGATACATATCAAGCACTTAGTATATGTGGGGTACTGTCCTAAACTCTGGCAGCACCAATACAAACAAATAGTTGCTGCCCTCAAGGAGCTAATATTCTATTAGGGGAAGACAACATATAATGAGCCAGAAGACGGGTGAGGTACTTGCTCATAGATAAAGAGGTTGCTGAAGAGGTGGTGAAGTCTGAAGAGTGAATCCATACAGCATCAAAGTGAGCATTGCTGGGGCCCCTTATGAAATAGTGACCTGGGAAATGCATATTATTCTTCAGGAAGAATTTTTTCTTGAGTAGCCAACAACATCTAGGTCTAAAATAAACATTATTTTACAATCAAGTATTTCTCTTTTTTTATACCTTCTTGCTTGGCTATATTTCAAACAATGGTCCAGTAAACAAGACTTTTTTTTTTAATCCTGGCTGAAGCAGTATTCTAACCCAGGCCTTTTGACTTCAGATCCAATATTTTTTCCCCTGCAGCATACTGTGTGGTTGCAAAAATTAAATCACCTATGGTCTTTCGTACCACTTACAATCCAAGATGATATGACACATACACAAATATCAAAAAAATGACACAAATGTATGTGTGTAAAGAGAGATGCAAACTATGTGCTTTTTGAAGACTAACACCGATAAAGGGACTTCATAACTAAAAGGATTAGAGAAGGCTTTGTTGAGTAAGTAGCATTTGAGCGAGATGTGAAGGGCAATACTTCAACAGTTATGGGGAGGGAAAGTGTTGCAAGTATAAGGATCAGCCAATGGTAGGAAACAATGAGTCATATGCACAAATAGCAGGTAATCTGCTCCAGCTGATGGCATTCCCAATGTATTTTGACTTAGAATGAGACATAACCTGTGATGATCATATTTTCCATCCACTCCATTTTGCCTAAAGCATGCTGTCGGCCAGTGGCTTGCTACTAATGTTAGTCAGTCTGGATCGTTAGGATGATTTCTTGGGCTTCCCGTTATGAGCAAGCCAGATTTTATGCGATTAAATATGCTGTTGTTATTGTTATTGGTTTCATTGCTTGGGCTAGATTATAACTTGGAGACCAATTTTACAGCTAAATTTTTGGGAGAAGAGAGTCCCCAAGGATTCTTAATCAAGTTACCCACCAAATCATTGGTCAGAATTCAGGGACTCCTATTTTCAAACCATATTAGTGAATAAATAGCCTCCTATCAAGAGTAAAATATCCTCATTGAATTATTTGGTTTTCCTACCATTTTTCTAAAGTTTGCCACTAAACTAGTAAAGGACTTCATTACCACTCACCTATTCTACAGGAAAATGTTCCTTACTAGGTCTTGCACCTCCATTGCCTTCCTTTTCCAAACTACTCTTCACACTGTTGCCTGAATTGCCATTCTTACAAATCTAGTCATTTTCCTCCACTATATAATGACCAAATCTGTAATGACACAAAGATAAGGAAGATAGCTAACAGAGGCAGCTAAGTGTCATGGATAGAGTGCTGAATATGGAGTCAGGCCAGATCTCAGTTCAAATCCAGTCTCAGACATTTTCCAGTTGTGCAATCCTAGACAAGTCACTTACTCCCTGTTTGCCTTAGTTTCCTAATTTATGAAACTGGGGTAATAATAGAACCTATCTCCCAGGGCTGTTTTAATGATAATATTTATGAGCTATACTATGTGATATATGTAATTTAAATGTATAATAATTTAATGTAATAACATTTAATGAAATCAAACTTATAAAGTTTTTATAAAATTTAAGGTGATATAAATTCTTTTTATTATTATTAACAATAATACTAATAATACATAGTAATACACAGTATGCAAAAAAAAAATTTCTAAAGGTTAACTTGACTATTAGCTGCATATAATGTAGCATTAGACACCACCTGGCTGAGCCCACAGGGGTTTGTGGTATCCAATTCCTCCCTCTCAGGTATTCTGCCATGTGATTTGACTGAGTTCAGTCTGCAGTTATTTTTAATGGAATTTCTCTTTCTATCTCTTCCTGCTTAATTTTGTTGGTAATGTACAGAAATGTTGATGATTCATGTGAGTTTACTTTATATCCTGCAACTTTGCTAAAGTTGTGAATTATTTCAACTAATTTTTAGTTGATTCTCTAAGTATACTACCATATTGTCTACAGTGATTTTGTTTCTTCGCTGCCTATTCTAATTTCTTCTATTTCTTTTTGCTTGTCGTACTGCTACAGCTAGCATTTCTAGAACAATATTGAATAATAGAGGTGATAATAGACATCCTTCCTTCACCCCTGCAATTATTGGGAAGGCTTCGAGCTTACTCCCAATACAGATAATGCTTGTTGATGGTTTTACATATATACTGCTTGTCATTTTAAGGAAAATACCATTTATTCCTATAGTTTCTAGTATTCTAAATAGGAATAAGAGTTGTATTTTGTCAAAAGCTTTTTCTGCATCTCTTAAGAAAATCATATGATTTTTCTTGTTTTTGTTATTGATATGGTCTATTATACTGAAAGTTTCCCAAATAGTGTATGATCTTTGTGACATATTGCTGTAATCTCCTTGCTAGTATTTTATTTAAGATTTTTGCACCAATACTCATTAGGGAAATTGGTGTATAATTTTCTTTCTCTGTCTTTTGCTCTACCTGATTTAGGTATCAGCATCATATTTGCATCATAAAAAGAAGTTGGCGGGACTATGTCTTTGACTATTTTTCCAAATAGTTCATATTGTATTGGAATCAATTATTCTTTAAATGTTTAAATATTCACATGCATCTGGTCCTAGGGATTTTTTTTAGGGAGCTCATTTATGGCTTGTTCAACTTCTTTTCCTAGGACCGGGTTGTTTTAATATCTTTCCACTTCTGTTAATCTGGACAATGTATATTTTTTGTAAATATTCATCCATTTGATTTAAATTGTCAGATTTGTTGGCATATAATTGGCCAAAATAGCTCCTAATAATTGCTTTAATTTCATCTTCATTGGTGATGCATTTACTCTTTTAGTTTTAGATGCCAGTAATTTGGTTTTCTTCTTCCTCTTTTTTTAATCAAATTAACCAATGTTTTATCTATTTTACTGGTGCTTCCTTTTTTACCATAAAACCAGCTCCTAGTTTTATTTACAGATCAATGGGTTTTTTTTCAATTTTATAAATCTCTCCTTTAATTTTCAGGATTTCCAACTGGGGATTTAACTGGGGATTTTTTATTTATTTTGTTTTGTTAATTTGTTTTTCTAGCTTGTTTTTTTTTTCTAATTGCATGCCCATTTCATTGATCTGCTTTTTCACTATTACGTTGATGTAAGTGTTTAGCAACATAAATTTTCCCCTATGTACCGCTTTGGCTGCACGCCACAAATTCTGACATGCTGTCTCATTTTCATTCTCTTTAATGAAATTATTTATTGTTTCTATGAATCGTTCTTTCACCCACTCATTCCTTAAGACTAGATTTAGTTTCTAATTAATATTTAATCTATGTTTCTATAGTCTTTTATTGAATGTAATTTTTATTGCATTATGGTCTTAAAAGGGTACATTTAGTACTTCAGCTTTTCTGCATTTGGTTGTGAGGTTTTTGTGCCCTAATTCAAGGTTAGCTTTTGTGAAGATGCTATGTACAGCTGAGAAAACAGTATACTCCTTTCTGTTTCCATTCAATTTTCTCCAGAGGTCTATCACATCTAAGTTTTCTAAAAATCTATTCATCTCTCTAACTTCTTTGTTATTTATTTTATGGTTAGACTTATCTAGTTCCCAGTGGGGAAAGTTGAGGTTCCTCACTAGTATAGTTTGCTGTCTATTTCTTCCTGTAACTCATTTAATTTTTTTTTTTAAGAATTTGGATGCTATGCCATTTGGTGCATATCTATAGTATTGATACTATTTCATTGCCTATGTTACCTTTTAGCAAAATATCATTTATCTGTTCATCTCTTTTAATTAGGTCTGGTTTTGCTTCTGCTTTTGCTTTGAGATTATGACTGCTACCTGCCTTTTTTACTTCTGCTGAAGCAGAACAGATTCTGCTCCAGCCCTTTATTTTCACTCCATGTGTGTCTCTCTGTTTCAAGTATATTTCTTGTAGACATGTTGTTGGATTCTGCTTTCTAATACATTCTGCTATTCACTTACATTTTATGGGTGAGTTCATCCCATTCATATTCAAAATTATGATTACTATGTATTTCTTTCCATCCCATTTTTCCCTTTTTATCCTCCTCTCTTTTTACCTTGTCCCTCCTCAAAAGTCTATCTTCTTTCTGACCACTACCACCCTCAATCTTCCCTCCTATTAGTCCTCCCCACCTTCTCTTATCTCCTTCTCCTTTTATTTCCCTGTTGAGTATATTTCGCTGAGTGTGTATGTTATTCTCTTTGAACCAATTCCAGTGAAAGTGAGATTTAAGCATTGTGCACCACAACCACCCATTTTCCCCTCCTTTTTAAAAGCTCTTCATTGCATGCCTTTTTTATGTAAGATAATTTCCCTAATTCTTTCTCTTCCTTCCCCTTCTCCCAGTGCATCCCGCTTTTTCACCCCATTTTTTTGAGATCATGCTATCATAATCAACTCACATCCATGCTCTCTGTCTATATATAGCCCTTCCAACTGCCCTGATAAAGATTTTAGGAGTTACAAGTATCATCCTTCCATATAAGAATATAAATAGTTTAATTATATTAGGTCCCTTATGGTTTTTTTTTTTTTTAAGTTTACCTTTTTATGATTCTCTTGAGTCTTGTGTTCGAATGTAAAATTTTCTATTCAGTTCTGGTCTTTATGTCACAAATGCTTGAAAGTCCTCTCTTTCATTTTTGGGGTTGAAGGAGGTATGAAGGATTATACCCAGTTTTTCTGGGTAGGTTATTATTGGTTGTAAAACTAGCTCCCAATAATTTCTTAATTGCCAATTCAGGTAGTCTTTTCTTGGTGTTCATCCTTACCAACCTCTCTGTTACATTTGATAATGTTGACTAACCTCTACTCTTGGATTCTCTCCCCTCGCTGGGTTTTCAGGACACTACTCTCTCCAGGTTCTCCTAACTATCTGACTTTCTCAGTTTCCTTCTCTGGGTTTGTCTCCCATACCTTACCACCTGATGGCAGTTGTTTCACAAGATTATTTTCTAGGCTCTCCTTGCTTCTTCCTCTGTACTTTCTTGTTGACCTTATAAGTTTGCATGGGTTTAATTATCATCTCTATGGACATGACTCAGACCTATTTATCTGCCTCAGTCTCTCCACTGACCTTCAGTACAGTATTACCAACTGCCTATTGAGTATTTCAAGCTAGATGTCCTAGAAACATCTCAA